TGGGTTGCTGTACACATGTATGTCATTAAACTTGGCTATTTTCTCTTCTTAACCTGTCTCGGGTAGAGTTGATTATTAGACTAGCCAAAAGAACCTAGGGCGGTAGAGGAAATCTTCACTGTCCACACTAACTTTGAAGATGTCTCATAGACCTCATGTGACCCAGAAGTGGAAGGATGGATTTTTCTCTTTACCTTTATCTGGATACCATATCTGGAATGAACATCCCAATTGGAATTCTGAGTTTTTAAGTGCTCAAATTGTGCTGGCATCCACGGTGGTCAAACAATTCCTAAACTGTGCTAATTAGAACTTTTAATCAATCTTCTGCGATCTGTGAACTTGGCAGAAGTACTTTGAAAGACCGATGTAGGAGAGGAAAAGTAATTTTCTCTCTAACTTTCTAGGTTCTTGGCTGTAGTAAAAAAGACAAGTTAACAGGAGGAAAACAAACGGAAGTTTGATAATATGTATAACCTCCTGTACATATGAAAAGTACCCAGGAAAACTGCGTAACTCCCTTGAATGCCCAGTCTACCACCTTAGTTACCATCTCCAGTAAAGACAAAAGATAAAACTGGGGGGAAGGCAAACTTGGAAGGCTACCAGGCAAAGCACAGTAAACTGAAGATATATATGGTTGTTACGGAGGGAGACTCAAGGCTCTGCCTTCCCCATTGATAAGCATTTCTACCAGCCTCCTCCACCTGTTCCTGGGAGAGAGACACCCTTCCAAATGGAGATTTCCCTTGCAAATGCAAATGTCTCTTCCAAAAGGGTAACTTCTGTTGGCTTTGAGTTTCTCCTCTGCAGGCTGTTTCTTAAAAATAACCAGTCTAACGTATTCCTTAGACCAAAGAGATAAATTCTTCTCCCTTTGACTACAATTATGTGTAGTTCCAGTTGTATTTGAACTGTGGAAAGTCTGTCTTGGGGTGGCTAGGAAATTGTAACAGTGAGAAATAACCACAACCTTGGTGATGTAATATGTAGAACAAAGACAAAGTCTCTAAGGTTAGTCTTCATTTCAGGTGGAGCAGAAATCCTGGCATGAAACACATTTTCAAACGGAGACCTCAATCATTAAATATTCTGTAATTGAATTATTTTGAGGAGATTAGCACTTAGTTCTTCTAAAATGTGTCTAAGATATCAAGCTGGCATTTTATGTAACTAATTATTTAAATTAAAAGCCAATTTTTAACTTCTGCCTCAGATCCAGATGTTTTGTCCTAGAGGGTGGTAGGCAGCTGGATTCTGGAAAATATTTAGTAATAAGTTTTTCTTTTTTCTTTTCTTTCTGCCTTTCTTTTTGATTTTTGTATGTAGATGTTTGCCTCAGTGCAGACGGTTTGCAATATTATGTCTACAACTAAGCAATGAAATATGCTGAGGAAATGATTTTTTCCTAAATAAAACCAGGTGGAACATTAGGAAAGAACAAGCTTGTCTGTAGAGGTTAATTCTGTAAACAAACAGGGTTAAAATAAAGAGTGATAATATTGCCCTTTATGTGTGCTCATAGCCTATCAAAGTTAAAAACTCTGAAAAAACTACTTATGGGCTAAAAAAATTCAGCACCTCATAAGAAAAACTACCTGAAGTATTTCTGTTTAGGCTACAGATAAGAACAGAAAAAACATATTTACAAATTTTTGACTTACTGTATATTTTAAATTGAGTGTTAGCACTTCAGAGTAAGGGTTAGATTGTCACAGATTTCATCAGATTCGTCTCTGCTAATCTATCCTTGAAAATGAATTCTTCGTCACTTGAAGTATACTATAAAATCTTATTTTATTTTAAGAAAAATATATATTTACTTCTAGCATATATTTCTATTTACTCGAAATAATTTTCTGTTGTATCTCTCTTTGTTTCTTTCTCTTAAGGTATTTTTACTCTGAAATAGAATGTACTTACATCAAAAGAGTTTATAGAATTAGGAAATTTGTTTTAAAACCTATATGTATGAATATTTCCACATAGATTATATATAATTTAAAAATACAAGTATATACACAGGTATACATACCTTTAATGAGAGAGGTCTCTGTTTTTTTCAACTAATGTTTTCTCATATATGAGGAGGGTTTATAAAAATTCTTTATAGCTATTCCTCACCCTTAATGGTTTTTATAATATACTCAATGATTTATATACAAGTAAAAAATCCTGAGATAGAATTAACCCGTCATGCTCAGCTGTTTAATAAAGTAGCGATAATCAAAATGCCTTTATACATTAAATATGGTGACGAACAAACTTTGGACGTTAGCGAGGCATACACCCCTTGTCTCCAAAGTGCAGTGCGTGGTGTTTGTTGAAAATGCACATTCCTGGGCTCCACCCCGGACATACTGATTCAGAGTCTTCCAGCGTGTGGTCCAGGAATCTCCATTTTAGCAAGTTCTCCACATGACACATTGTACACAAGATAAGTGACAGTGTAGATAATTTTGAGTTTTCAAAATTAACTCTTTCATACACTGGAAGAGATACTACTATTATGTATCTTCACTTCAATGCTTTCTACTCCTCCTCGATTTACTTTTTTTGTAAACACAACCTAATGAGTTTAGTCAATATAATCAGGGGGAAAACATATTCTTTGGAGTTTTGCAAGTGAAAAAGTCAATGAAATGTTTCTTTTATCATTTCTCTTCAACTTTCTACTGCCACTGTTTACCTGGAAAGCCTCTTTTCGATTACCTCCTGGGATCCCACAGATTTTCCTGTAATTCGTAGTTCTTTAAGAGCAACTTCAGGTCAAAGCTTCTATTTCCACCCAGCCTGATTCAGCCACGCAAATAGCTTTTTTATGGGATTGCAGTAAACTGAAACTCTGATCACATTCTCTGCACCGAGCTACCACTTGTTTCTGTCATTCCTGGAGGATGTGAAAATCTTCCTATTGGAGAGTTCGTGACTCATAACTCTCATTATTTAGAGCTGCTTAAAATACTCATCTAGGCTACTATGCTAAGAATTGAAAATTAAAATGTATTCCTAAGTTTTACTTTTTATATGATATTAGAAAGAAAAATGGGGGGCTCCTGAAAAAAATAAGACATCCGGATATGACACTATTACGAATAATGATAAACTTACACATTTTTGGTTAAAGTAAGACCATTAGGTTAAAATACATAAGAATGTCCACATCTTTTTAGTTACAAAATTGTTTACTAAGATAGATGTAAGGTGAGTAGGAAGGAAAGACATATTTTCCTGTCTTATCTGGATTTTAATCCACAGGTTTCATAAATGGTAGAAATATGCAAATGGTCCTCTCTACCCATAAGCAACTGTCAACTCTAATATGTGGAACAAATTCAGAACTACCCATATTAGACAGGAAAACAGGTCTGCAAATTTTGATGAGAAAAATTGTTTTCTAGGATCCCACTAAAATGTACTTGCACACAAACCATTTCCATGAAAAGGACCGCTCCTCTCCTAAGAAATCTACTTAATCTTATACTCTTAATGAAAGTGTACTCTATTTTTATAGTGAAGGAGGGAAGTATGAAAGATACTGGAGAATTAAGCAGACCCCCTCTCTGCTTCAAAACTCTAGGAGAGCCATTCCCTCCTTACTTTGCATGGGTCTGTTTATCAGAAATCAGCATCTCCCATTACCTCCCTTAAAGAAGGAAGAATGGGAGTAGTTGACTAGTTATTTTTAATAAAATAAAATAACAGTTGACCTTTTATCTCCCTTTGTTACAACTACTACATAAAAGTGTCAACTCCCACAAAAATTTTAGGGCAGTGGTTTGATATATTCTACAACTAGTTTTTCTTTTCTGGTAGGGGGGAGAGTAGAATTACCCTAAACATAGAGCTTTGTTTCAAAATGACACTATTGGAGAGTTCAAGTAATGTAGATAGGGGATCTCTGACCTGCCTTTGGTTCTTGCTAGAAATCCTGAGGTGTGCATTGGGGGTGGGGAACCTTTAGGTGGGTGGATAAATGGTGAACTATAGTTGGAGGAATATTCCTCTGATTCTTTTTGCCCAAGGAAGTTCAAAGCACTTCAGGTCACACACCTGCTCAGGGGTTTGGAAATCCATCCCCTTTTCCCATCCTTTCTATTTAGTGAAGCAGGTCTCTAGGGCATGAAAACATACTTCACGAATTTTGCATCACATTCCCCTGGTTCAGCATGTTTTTCAACACTGCACCAAGGCCAACTGTTTTCCAGGCATACATTCCTCTGTACATGCATCAACTAGGTTCTCTAAGCCCATACCCAAAAGTCTCCCCCCCCCCATCTCAAGGAGGGGGTAGGACTAATCAAAATAGGGCCCTGGATGTCACTAGTGCTCTTGGAGGTGTTGTCCTTCTGTCTGCACTCTATGGATGTCCTGTGTAAATTTAGGGTGTCCTATAGGGTTAGACGAGCTTCTTTCCACTTGGCCCTAAGCAAAACTGCTGTCCCTGGTGCTGAACCATGTTTGCCCATCAGGGAGCCTGCTGCCAGGTCAATGGGGCTGGATAGAAAAGCTGGCTGACTGATCTTACGAACGCCAAAGTGCAGGCGCAAGCAATACTCTGATGTACACGAACAGAACCCCTCCCCCCAAACCCATCTCTCCCGGGGGTGCGCCAGGACCCCATTTGCAGCTCTCTCCTCCGGACCCCCACCCCAAACGCCTCCAACATGGCCTCAAACGCCCACACGTATGAGCATAGCCCACTGGACATAATTTTGCAGTGAAGACCAAAATGCTACTCCTCAAACACAAAGTCTTTACACTGACAGCTTTTCCACTCCAAAACAAAACAAATCAATGGAATGAATTAATGAATAAGTGAAAGTGACCTTCCTCTTTCCTCCCTCCTTTCCCCTCCCCACACATTCACATTCCCCTAAACTACAAAGCCCCAAATCCTAGAAGAGAGTTTTACATCTGGGTGGTCTCCGTCATGCCACATCCCCACCCCTTCCCCCACCTCCCTGGAACAAAACAAAGCCAAAACCAGCACCTCTTACCTTGGGTAGAGCGTTAGCAGGAGCAGGATCCACGCCGTCATTTTCTGTGAAAATACAGGAGTCCTGCAGACTGAGCTTCCTGTGCTCCATCTATTTGGCAAACTCATCGCTTTTTTCCCCCTCTGCTTCTTGCCTCTCGGTTGCAGAAGAATCCCTCCCCTTTGTATTATTATTATTATGCTTAGAATCTGATGGTGGCTCCCCCCACCTGCCTCTAGTAGGTCCCGTCACTGGGGAGATGTATTGCTACCAGCTCCAGGAATTAATATTCAGGGAGCAGAAATAAGATCAGCACACAGGCTTGCAGATACCATCAAAGCATCAGCTCGGGGAGCAGCTCCCAAGTCTGGGAGAATAATATAATTGAGGCAGGGGGAGGGTTTAGGGAGAGACGCACAGAGACAAATAAGGGGGAGAGAAAGGCGTGCATGCTGGTACACACACTCATGCCCCTGGCATTCACACACTCACACATGCTCCCCCAGGTCCATCCCTGTAGGCTTATTTGTTTGTTTTGCTTTTTCTTTTAGAGGGGGCAGGGCTGTGTGTGTGTGTGTGTGTGTGTGTGTGTGTGTGTGTGTGTATTTAAAAGAAATAGAAAAATCACGAGAATCTCTGCGTGATAACTAGGAGGTCAAAGTGGAAGTGATGCACGCCGCAGCAGCACGAATTAACACATGCGTGGTGTCTCTCCAGTGCTTCTTAACCCTTCACTGCACAGGCAGGAGTGCAAGGGCTGCTGTTCATCCCCTCAAAAGCCAGGAGATGCTCCGGCTGGCTCATAACTCTACACCAATGACAGGAGGGTTGTCTCCTCAGATCTAAGAATCCTTATTTGAAATCCTGCAGCCTTAGAAATCATGATCATGTTGTGGGAAAGGGGAGAGCAGCGTGCAGGGGAGACAGGGCTGTCTCTCTGTAAAACCACCCATTTGGAGACAGATTTGATGGATTTTCAATTTGACTGAAGGGAGAGAACACTGACAGATTTAAAAGACAGGAAGAAATTGTATGTTCTCCAGGATGCACTCCTTCCTGTTCTGCTCCCAAAATGTAAAGACACAAACCAAGTACTTGAAGGCTGAAGAATGCAATCGCGTGGAGATAGCTGCCTCAGTAAAGAATATAAACCACAAAATCAAAGGGGGCTTTTAGAAGGGAAGTTGGACAAAGGGAGAGAGTCAAGAGGACATCCAACAATATAAAGGGATTTCTATTTGCTGTGCTGAGTTGACATTTTTTGTTTCTTCTTCATGACAATCCTGAAAATTTCTGGGGTGAGTGAGTGATGTTAGCATGCTTCCTTCTGAATGTTACCATGGATACTGTTACATGAGAGACATCCCTCTCTTTGAACCTAGTTCATCCACCACAGAGGGAACTCCACTCACTGAGCACAGAGAAGGAGGTGGAAGAGTATTTCAAGGTTTCTGCAGAGTCAAGACCAGAGCAAAGGCGTTCACAGAGATGCAGGTGAAGAAAACCAACTGGACCCTTTCCTGGAACACAGCAGGGGGTTATATCAAAACCATTGACTTCTCTATGTAAACTTAATCTCACAGGGAGGCAACATGAAGAAGGCGTCCAAAAGGCATAGAAATAGACCCAGAGACGAGGAGGCCTGCTCTCCATCCCCAGCCCTAAAGTATACCCAAGAAAAGCAGAGAGAATTACTGGTGGCTTCTGCTCACGACAGAGGCCAAGGAGACATATTCTGACTAGGTAGCAAAAAAGGCCTACCAGGAATACCTGGACACCTGCATGACTTCAGAATTCTCCCTCAGACAGTTAGTTTATGGGGTTAGGGGAAATCCAATAAAAGCAGAGACAACATTCACTTCCATAGTCAGTTAACTTCTTCCTTTTATAATTGAATTGGAGCCAAAACAAATGTAAACCCCTTTCTTTTTAATTTCCTTGTTCCTTGCCGCACTGTGAGAAAATTTAACCCTCTTTATATTTATGACTTTTTAAAAACAAAGACACCTAGGTGGCTTACAGCTATATGTTTATATTTAGTAAAAATATTTGAACATATTTTTGTAGGCCAAGGTTTATATGCTCACATACCTACAAAGACCACATTAGATAAATTATAGAAATGAAATCAGTGAATCCATTTCTGGTGAATCCGTAAACCATGAATCAGTAAAGGAATTCATTTATTTTCTGCAATTGCCTATTGTATACTCACTGATCATATCAACATTATGACCATTTTTCTTTTAAGTCCTTACACTATTAAAAATAGTTCATTGAACGTCTTTATTTGCTAACTTCGTTTCAGATGTGATTGGTTTATATCAACTGCTATTTTTTAATGTGTCTTATTATGCTGTACTTTGTATATCTCCTTATTTTTTTTACCAAGTATCATATACATTATATATTATCAACATTCCGATTTTCAATACTCCTCTGAAGAATGTCAGTATTTGTTCTAACAGGAGTTAAATCATTGACAAATCACCTTAATCTTGGGCAGGATTAGTTTTATACTGCTTTCAGGTTACTTTCAGTGTTGCCCTGTGGACTTCCAGAAAATTCTTAGTTCTAAAACAGAGAAGGGTTGTGGTCCTTCCAGGGTTTTAGGAACCCTAAACCCTTTCCTTCTAGGAGAGTCTGAGTTGCTTATCAAGACTGCTGGAATTCAAACTCCAAACTCAGTCTTTTTGCAATGAGTGGCGGCTGAAATGTTGGCTCAGCTCTTTGAGTATTTCAGTTTTGCTTTGTTCTAGGGCTTCTTGGTGTCTCCCCTCCTCCCACCCAGAAACAAACATCTAAGGGAAGTTCGCCTGTGAATTCGGAGTTTTACTTCTCTGTCGTTACTTTGTTTCTGGGACTTCCCCCTTCAGTTTGCGTTTCTCTGGCAGCCCCACACTCTGAAAACTCAAACCAATCCGATCGCTGCCTTCTGCTGATTCTAGCCAGCCTGCACTGCTGGTACTGAGGGTGATACTGGGCGGTGGGACTTTTCATACCGAGACCAGTAAAGTTTCAGGCAAATGGAAAAATAATTGGTCATCCTTTACATGCTCTCAAGAGAAAGCTACAAAATCTTAGATCTCATCCACTTCAGTTTTCTCTTTCTGTGACCAAATCTTTATCATGTGTGTGTACTTTGGATACCTTTCTAGTACTTTAGCTATTTAATATTCTGTCCATTAGTTTTATAATTGTTATCTGCAGAATAATTAGCTTACTTCATAACCACCAAACCAGAACCTAAGTCATGTATTTTAATTTCCCAAATGATAAAAGATCTGATATCAAAAACCAAACTGGTCAAGATTTTGACCTTATAATTCATTTCTGGGCTTAGTAATAATAATGATGATGATGATGATGCAGTACTAAATTAAAATTTTAAATAAAACTTATTTCTGAGAAAAATAACACACTAAATAATTCTGCAACATATTGACAATGATTAGGTGGTTGGGAGGACATTGGTGTTCATTTTCATCTTTCTACTTTTTCATATTTTTAAAAACAATGTAAATAAATATATATACATATATTATGTAGAATGAAAATACAAGCATCATATTTATCAAATGATGGTAATTTAAATGTTTTATAAACATGTCTTATTAAAAGCGGGCAACAATAAATATAGCTATGAGTACCTAACAACAAACTTTAATCTTATATTATTATTTTTCATTATTATATTATTTTTCATAAGAAAAACTGTAAACCTACTTTGGATCCACTTTATATCCATTAAAATTTTTTAGAAAATATATTGAAATACTTTTTTTCTGAGACCAGCCCCCAGGTGGGAAAATCTGCAAAAAAAGAATTCTGTGGAAGATTTATTCAATACTGACACAATCCAAATAGCATCAATAGGAAAATAGATAATTAGATCCCAAGGTATTTTTGGACAATGGGAAAAACATATTATTCTGCAATAATGTTATGAATAACTTATGCAAACACACACATATAAACATACAATATACATATATACATTCAACAACATAGTCAAGTTTTAAAATATTATGTTAAGCAAAAAAAGCCAAGCAAAAACCAGTACATGCTGTATGATGCTGCCATCTATATTATCTTCAAGGGCAGCAAAAGAATTCTATGTGGTTAAAATAAGCATGGATTTTGCCCATAATTTTTGAGGTACAAGAGAAATTTGTCAGGTAAATTAAGTATCCTCTATCTTAATTAGGAAAGTTACTCCATAGTCTTATACACTGATAAAACTTATGAAATTATATACTTAAGGCCTCAGCATTTCGCTGTGCATTAATTTCACCTTAACAAAAATTTTATTGTTACAATAAGTCTTATCCTCATCACTAAGCACAATCTGTGTTGTGCGGGGTCCGCATGGGAGGCCTTATTGGATCTTTATTAAAAAACCACGAGGTGGGTACTGTTAATATCAACATTTCACACCCAGGAAGATTCAAGTTTAGAAAAGCTACATTTCTTGCCTAGTATAATCTATAGAGTTGATTATACAGTTCATGGCAGAGCAGATTTTAAACCCAGACAGCCTAATATAAGAAATTGAACCCTTAAGCCTGGTTTTAAACCATCTCTCAATAATATGATCCCGGCAATAAATAACACAGTTATTAATTCTCTTTAATCTCAGTGATAATAAAACTTCAGAGTCAACATGATGTAATACAAAGAGCATACAGTTCAGAGTCAGAAATCTTGGCTTTGTCATTAACTTTGTGACTTTGGGGAAATTACTTCATTTCTCTATGTCTTATTTTCTTATCAGTGACATGATGGATGGTATAGGTGATATACATGGAGTCCTTCATCTTTAACACTCAGTGACTATAATTTGAATAGCATTGCCTTGTGAGTGATGTGGGAAGAGATATCTATAGCTCTTTCAAATATGTTAGCTTCTTTAATTGTAGGACTGCATTACAGGTGTCAGTGTTCATGTTACTGAACCTTAAAGTAAACTGAAAAAAAAGTTTGGTTTAGTTATCTCTGTCTTAATCTTAAATCTCACGAGAGAGCGCAAGTACCTCCTTGTTCCGGATACTAGATGAACCAGGTGTGGAGGTGGGGTCTCTTTTCCCAGGTTTGAGTCAGGGCTGGCCTTATGATTTGCTTTGTCCAGTGGAACATACATATGTGTGAGTTCTGAAGTCTGAGCCGTGAAAGGCATCTTCACTTCCATCTTCATTCTCTTTCGATGCTGCTGCCATCCTGTAACAACATCAGTTCTTTATGACAACGGGCATTTACATGCCTTATCTAATGCACTCTCCCGCACCTAGAAGAGGATCTGGCACACAGTACATGCTCATTAAAAATTGATCGAAATCTAAAAGTTGACTCATAGAATATCTCCCAGAAACACGTCAGTATACTTTTGCAAGTATACGATTCATATAATAGTATATGGATCGCAAGTTGGCCAGTCTTTTGAAATCACTGGGTATAGTTTTGTTTTTGTGTTTGGAGTGTCAAATTATGGTCTTTGAAAATCACAGGCATCCTCAACATTTACACTTGATCTAAGAACTTGATCGAGGCTGTAAATT